TCGGCCACCTCACGCTGTAGCTTGCGACGGGCTTCTTCAGCTTTAGCCCGCGCTTGCGCAGATAATGCGCGGCGCTTGCGGATACGTTCCTCCAGTGTCGAGCGGTCCCGTTTGACACGAACCCACTCCATTGTTGATGGCTTGGAGGAACCATTCTTCACTTGATGTTGAGGCTGTTTGCCTCGTTTGTTCTTCAGATCCGCATTGTAGCGGACCCCGTCAACGGACTCCATGGCCTTGGCGAATTGCTTCGCGAGGCGTTGACGCTGCCTCTGGCGAGCTCTCTTAGAGAGAGTCACCACGCCTTCGATGGTGGATTTGACCTGCTTAGATGCCGATGGGACTTCACCCGACGCAACTTCGGCGTCGATCGGGGTGAGGTTGTCGTTGGTGGCTTCAACTTCTTCGCACCAACGGACTTTTCTCCTAGAGGAGAACTTCTGGAATTTCTTGGACTTACGGGGGGAGGTTGATCCAGATGAGGACACGTACTCCTCGTACTTCTGCTGGTCGAACTCATACTCGACCTCCTCCACGACCGGGATCGAGATCCGCGGCTGCGACGCTCCGATCTCGGCAGCGAGATCGGTGGCTCCCACTGTGGTCGCCAGATTGTTCGCTCGAAAAATCGTTGCTTTCTTCATCATTGATTCCATTGCTATCTTGAATAACAGTTTTTCGGTTACAGAAGATCCGGTCTTTTTTTAGATCCGGTTACAATGAAAATCAAAAATAAAGAAAATTAAAAATTACAACTTTTTCTCCTTGTGAACAAATCGCGAGCTCCTGTTATTCGGTCACTCGCTTTGGTGGGTTGTTTGCCTGCGCCGGGGTTGTTTGCCGTGGACCACCACGCGATCTAGATCTGGACAGATCTACGCAGTATAACGGGTATTATTTCACCAAGGAAATAATAGCCGGAGGGATTATTTCACCAAGGAAACAATCGCTCGAATCTCGGGATCAAAGACCAAGCTTTGATCCGGAGTGTAACAACGTAGATCTGAGATCTTGATCCCCTCGAACTCCTGCCTTTTTTGTGATGCGGGTGCTCGCCGAGAATGAGATCCAAACGTCCAAGTCTTCAAGCCTTCAAAAACTCCAAGATGAGGTCTCAATCCGGCAGAGTTTCGGCTCTCCACAAGTTCTTCCAAAAGTCCCCCTAAATGATGAATGACCCCGCCTATTTATAGGCAACCAGATCTGTGCACTTGGCACAGATCTGGGCGGCCACCTCAGGCTCGGCTTTGGCCGAGCCACCTCAGGGTGGCTCGTCTTTGGCCGAGCCACTCCGGGCTTTGCGTCCGTCTTTCGGTTGTTTCGGTCCTTGTATCTGCTTCGTCCGTGATTCGGTTATGCGGTTGATTGGTCTGAAATCGATTCGTTGACTTGATTCCTGATTTGGAAGTCTGGATCCCGATTAGGCAGTAAATCGGCTTTGGTGTCTGAGTTCGAGTCCGTTATATGGTTGGATGACTCGTTGACTCCCTGGACTATTGGTTTGATTCCGCACGCGAGTGGATTCATTCCGTCGTTCACGTGCGGTTCGTCAGCTTCGTAGCCTTGTTAATCCGCTTCGTTGCGTGTCACTTGGCTTCGGTGTTGTGGACTGACGTTCGTGCTTAGATACGTCGCCTGATGGTTCATTAGTTCGTGTTGAACCGTGTCAAGGGACCTATAAGCAATTTTATATGCCTACAGCTGCAAACTTGACTTTCCGGGGTTCCGTCAAGGCGTATCCATCAAAATAGCGATCCATGTTCTTTAACCAATCCAAGAAAGCTTGTGGATCGAGCTTATCATCAAAGGTTGGTGCTTCGATCTTAATGTTCCTCAGGTATTGAGCATCTGGATCAAGCACATGTTGAGGTGGGGGTCGATGAATGATGTGTTCATAACCTTGACCTTGCGGAGGCGGAGTTATAATGCACGCTTCGTTAAGCCTAGCGAGCCTCTCATTGGCTACATTTTGGAAGTCTGTCAGGACCTCGCGGGTAGCTCTACATTCCTTGGCTATGGCACCTAGTTGTCCTGCTAGCTCATCGAATTTTCTAAGGAGTACGGGATTTGTACTGCCTGACAAGTTGGACTCACTAGACGATTCACTAGACTCTCCTAATCAATAAGGTAGACCTGTGCGAGTGGGCATGCACTAACAACTAAATAAGATGAATGGTAGTTTTTTTTAATAACAAATAAAAAAACTCAATTAAACTAATCTAAAATTTTTGCTAACCTAGAACTATACTCTGATACCAAAAATAATGTGAAACGAGACAGGGGGTCTATCAGAATTAGCGATTTAATTCAAATAATTCGTTTCATTAAATTTCATGATCTTTAGCAGGAATTAAATTCAAAACAACTAATGTGACAGATAGATTTAACAAAGTTTGCATCAATAATTATGAATAATTCCCATCTCAATCAATTTAATTGCAATATTCATTATCATGTACAAGTTCTACAATCAATATCAAATTCTAATAGTCACATGCTCAATTACTCTCAACTCACAAATATAATCTAAACAGTGAATATATGATAAGAGTTTAGAGATGGAATACTCATGCAATTAACTAATAAAATAAGATTAATAGAAAAATAGAGAGAAAACAAAATCATAGTCGGACTGAGCAGGCTCGACTTGAGGGACCTCTGGAGGTGGTGCGACGACGTCGAACTGGATAACGACGCGGTAGGGAACTGAGCGACGACTACAGCGGCGACTGAGCGACGACGACGGCGGTGAATCTGAGTGACGACGACGGTGGTGAATCTGAGCGACGACGATGGTAACGGGTCAACGTGTAAACTGGCGACATGGGTGACGAGAGAACATGGTCGACGAGTGGACGTGACGGGTGAGACGACAACGGTGGCTATTTGAGGTGGATTTGACGGTTTATGGAGGAAAGGGTGGCTGCTCGAGGTAAGGAGAGCAGGAGTAAGTTCGTCGGGACTGTTCGAAGTGGGGGATGATTGGCGAGGCTGCTCGAAGTGGAAGGGAGTAGGGGAGGAGGTGACAACGGAGGCTACTGGAGGAGGAGAAGAGCGGGGGCGGTTGTTTGGGAAAAGAAAACAAAAAAGAAATAGGGGAGGGTGGCGGGTGTTTGTGGAAGAGGAGCTAGGGGAGTCGGCCTAGAGTTTCACACCTGTTGGCCTAGGGTTTCACACCCGACGCTTCACACCAATAATGAGTTTACAAAAAATTTCATTGATTCAAATCTTTTTTAAAAATCTGATTACAGCAGTCTTTTAAAGAGAAAAAATTACAGATTCTGAAATCCCTCAAATCACTCAAATTACCACAACTGACTCTACTACCAAATTCGACCCAAAATTCAAAATTCAAAATTAAAATCCTACCAAAATAGAAAATCTCTCTAATCTCTCACAAATAAAACTAAATTAAGATCCGGTCAAACTATCAAATCTTCTTTATCCAAAACTAAAATAAAAGAAAGTCAAATAACAAATATGAAAAATTGTCATTATTGTCATCATCAGTCTTACTGTATGTGGCTGAAAGAATGCATGAAAGCATCTCGATGCTAATGTCATCCAATGATAAGAATCTCAGAATTATAACACAAAGGTTAGGCTGCAACCAGGACATGAACGCAGCTAGGAGAGAGGTCTTTGGGGCTATTGAGAAGGTTAAGGGTTTGACTGAGGATGAGCAGAAGATAGGTGCTGCCCTCATTGCGGGGAGTGCCAGCAAGTTGGATGTGTTCTTCAATCCACCAGATGAGAGAAGGGCAAGGTGTGTGAGGAGGTTGATTAAGAACGAAGGATGAGATGATACACTTTCATGAGAGCCATTTTTAGCAAATTTTTATACTTGTCGCTATTTTATTTAAGGACGCATTTATGTTAGAATTTGGAATCTTATGAGGCTTATAATCTGGACATGAGACATCTTGTATTTGGAAATTGGAATTATTGTTCAAGTTTTTGCTTCAAATTATATAGTTGATTCGTACATGAAGATATTCTATAAACAAGCTTCTGAATATATGGCTTGTGACATGCAAGTGGGTAGGCAGCAATACCAGATAAAGCTTTGACATAAAGTTCAACTTGAAGCTGTAGGGTCTTGGACACATTCTCAGCTTGAACCTGTTGAAATTTTGTTGCCATCTTTTGCTGCTAGTATTGATTTTTGGATTTTTTTTTTTTTTTTTTTTTTTTTTTTGCTAATGCTATCTAGTCTAAATTTTTATATATTTGATATGTAGTGCATTTCAATGTCCTATTTGTAAGGAACCAATTGTTGATCATTCAAAATTACTAGTACTATCTCAATCAGCTTTGCATACATGCAGTTATGTGGATAATAGCAATTTGGATTAGGTCTTTTTACTATTTCACATACAAATTCCACTCTTTTCTAAGTTTGATTTTAAGTGCATTCATCTTTGCCATGTTTCATATGAAAATTCTTATGTTTCATATATAAATGTCGTCTTAGCATTTAAATTATTGCTTTCAATTTAAGCATGACTGTTGAACAAGTTATAATAGCAGAGCCTGAGCCTCTTCCTGTTGATTAAGGAATCCACCTACTGACTCACTATCTCCGATTAGTTGGATAACCTTACAAATTAGGCATGCTGCTTCTATCAATTTTGCATTACTAATTTTTCTTAGTCACTTGAATGGTCCGAAATAAACCGGTCATTAAAATAGAAAATAGGCAGTTTATTATGGTTCCATTTGTAGTTTGCTTGATAGAAGATACGAGGAGAAGCCCTTTAGTTAATAGCTATGCGCAATTCTTGTATATTAACACTTTCATAATTGTTGAAACTAATAAGATGAATTCATGATCGGGGTGTTTGGTTAGAGATGATACAGGTTCAATTCTCACTTGTGTCAGTTTTTGTTTCATTAGAAATGTCAGCTCCAGCTGTGAACCATCCGGTTCAGGTTGGCTTGTAGAAAACCGCTCTATTTGACTAGTTTATAGGTGAACCAGCTTCTGTTCAAGTGCTTTCTAGACTTATTTTGGTTCTTCAATGAACCATACCTGAAGCAGCTGGTTTCATTATTAGAACTGGCTCTGACTAGCTGGTCCAACTTACAGTAATCCTATCCAATAGATTATGCTGATATAAACATACATACCAATCATTGAACAATTATGCCTTAAATTGGTGGAGCTTTGAGGAACTAAACTAGCTAAATTATCGTGCAACTATCAAGTCCTCATCCCTGGCTTATTTAGTATAACTTAAGTAACGAGGTTACGATCATCTCTTGGAAGAGAGAGACGTCTTAAACTAACACCTTACTGTTCAAAAAATAAATAACACTAACATATAGTCAAAGAGCAATCTAATAAATTAATATGGTCAGTAATAATATTGTAGTAGTGTATATGGGTAAATCCACTTTTATTTGAAAGGATCCATGATGATATAACATCCACTTCTGAAAATTGTATTATGTTTGGACGAGGTTTAGTGATGTGGGAGGGTTCTAGGGTACAAAAAACTTATTATTACTCATTTTACTGCAGAAGTTGAGTGCCGTTTCATGGCAAATGGATCGACTTTTAGAATTATCATGGGGGTTGGTATGTGTTTTAGAGATCAAAATATAGTTTGAGATACTGACGGCACTTAATTGTGATCAGAACGAAACGATCAGAATCTCTAGTGACCAGTTTGAGCATGGGAAAACAAAGCATATAAAGACAAACTGACATTTTATCAAGGAACTGCTTGTTTCAATGGAAATTGCTTCCGCATATTACTGTTAGTGTTGGTCTTCAACTATCTGTTCTTTTTGGTAAAGATGTAACTTAGTATCTTATTGAAGTTAAGCATGACTACTATCCATACTCATTCTCAAAGCATGCTCGTTGATTCATTTGTTTATACCTGTCTAATTAGATTACTTTAATTATAGCTTCAATGTGTATTGTGATTTTGTATTGTTCGATTAAAATATTTTGCATTGAGCATTGTCCAAATGCTAAGAAATAGTACACAAATTGCCTTAGACTCGGTTAAAATCATTTTAGGTAGGTAGAAGGGCATCGTGGCCATTTACTACTGTGTTCTAATAATATACCACTTTATAATGACATGTTTCCAACCATGACATATGTACTAGGAATGTTAATAATAAATTGAACCAAACCAATTATTAAAAACTTAACTCACTATAATCCTCAGGATTATTATATCCCAGGACTAAAGTGAGTTAAATTAATCTCAGGATAAAACTAGTCCCTAATTTAAACATAGCCATAAAGTTTAATGATCATGTGATTTTCCCATTTAGGTAAAGATTAACCTGTCAATTATATTTAATTCATTCATGATATGATAATGCCCTATCCCCTTTTGATCACTGATAAAAAAAAATATTGCATGCATTCAGCATCTTATTAGATCACTATAAGTACATGGTAATAGTTAATGTCTTATCTTTCACTCTCAATCCTCAATATGAGTATAAATTTTCGGAAATTAGTTGAACATAATAATAGTACAAATGCCAAGAAGATAAATTTTGCCTTCACCTAAAATGAAAAAAAAAATTGCAAGAGTAAAATGTTTGTGTACGAAGCATAGGAAAAAAATAAATCTATTATTGATTAAATGGGCCTTCCTGCATATACCCAATAGTAAAAGTCAGTTGTCACTCGTGGCAGATAGGTACGTAAGCTAGAGCTAAGCTAATTAACTTGGAATTTGCAAAAAAGACCACTTAAGACACCGTAGTTTGGGCTTCAAACCAAATAAGCCCTCGTTCATTAGAGCCTAATTTCCGCACGCATTTATAAATACTTAATTTTCTAGACTAAAATTTGGAATTTTTTTTATGGAATTTTTGTGCATCCCTCACTATACTTTTGTGTTGCATATTACTCCTGACTTTTCATACTTAGCCCTCCGAATCTTTAAAGTTAACGTCAAAAATATTACTATACATCTCTAGTTTTCTGTTATACATTTCTTGTTGTTCCATGTACCTTCTCTTTAACAATAAACTTTTCATGTATTGGAACTGTAAAAAAACTTTCATGATTTATCAAATTCTGTAGAAAATACTTCTATATCGTCACATATACTTGTTGAGGGTCATTGAATCTAAGAAAGCGCAAATAACTTTTAACAAATATTTTTGCAGTTGTTCCAGGTGGAGGGGAGCAGTAATAATATTGATTTAAAAGAGCTTGCGTTTTCCTATTGGTTGTTTGCCTGGACTCATTTTTGTGGGTTTACTGGGGTTACATTTGTTGGTGTGCATGTTGTCTGGGGTTGAGTAGGGAAGTCAATTTTTGCCCATACCCATTTACCCACCTAGCCCGCCCATTACTTGGCCCGCCCAAAATCCACCCATTTAGTTAAATGGGTCTAATCGGGCGGGTTTATTTTAAATTATACTAAATGGGCACTAAATGCCCACCCATTTAGTTAAATGGGTCTAATCGGGCGGGTTTATTTTAAATTATACTAAATGGGCACTAAATGGGCGGTGTTTATTAACCCGTTTTCTAATCGGGCGGGTTTATTTTAAATTATACTAAATGGGCACTAAATGGGCGGTGTTTATTAACCCGTTTGCCCGCCCGCTCATATTACCAAAACAAAAACCCTAAATCCCGACCCTAATTCCTCTCTGAGCTCTTCTTTTCTCGCGAAGCCCGACATCAATTCCTCCTCCTCCGCCTCAATCCCGACCCCAATTCCTCCTCCTCCGCCTCCTCCACCGCCGCCTCAACCGCCTCTCGAACCTAGCGCCTCTCGAAGCTAGAGCCTCCTCCGCCTCCTCCTCCGCCGTCTCCTCCGCCGCCTCAACCGCCTCTCGAAGCTAGAGCCTCCTCCGCCGCCTCAACCGCGAAGCCAGAGCCTCCTCTGTCGCCTCAACCGGGAAACCCTAGTCTTTCTTCGATATTCGCGATGGCGCACGCGTTAGCAGCTCAGGTGAGTGAAGATTCGTTAACTGATTCTTGTTCTTTGATTGATTTCGTTCGTTGTAATGGTGGGAATGGGGATTTTTGCAGACTTCGATCAGTGTTCCGATTGGAGGCGACTCGTCTCCTGGGAGGTCACGAGTGAAGGTATGATACTGTACGAAATTGCTTCTTTTTGCTGTAAAACTTCTGTTTTAGTGTATAAAAGTGAAATTTGTGCTTATGAGAAGAAAAGTTTTTGACTTTTTATTTACGCTAAAGGTTAAGGTTTAGTGTATAAAGGTTTTAGCATATTCTCTTCATGTTTTTGAAGTTTATAATTGTATGTGCTGAGAGTATTGATGAAGAAGAGAACGAAGGATGAGAATATGGTGGGTTGGCTTTTATAGAGGTTTTTCTTAGACATCTTGGACTTGTCTTTATAAACTGACATCAATGCAATAGAGATATTTGATCAGACGCTCTGCAATTACAGTGCGGCTTTAAATTGGGTTTGAGAACTTATTCTCACTTTTGGAATTTAGATAACTTCTGTTGTCTGTGTATAACATGAAAGCAGATAACTTCTTTTGGAATTTAGATGGTGGGCCTAAATACATACTCAGGCATGGATGAAGATTAAAAAGCTGCATCAAAAGAATAAGGAGATATATTCACAGGCAAGCTATAATACTCAAAAGTTTTTACACTGATCTTTATGCTCCAACCACAGTGATTGCTCATGGTTTGTATTTATGCTGTTGATGTTTAAAATAAATTGCTCTTTATGCTCCAATCTACCATGTTCTTAGGCTTTAACTAGTTGCTTATGTTTTTTATGACCCACAATGATGCTAAATAGATAGGCCACAACTTTAGTATCTTGCAAATCTTTTACTTGAATACGGCGGAAACTAGTTTGATGATCAGGTCTCTACTTGTTTTGAATAATAATATCATAGAATTCAGGGTTTATTATACTCATTTCTAGACAACAACATCAAACAGATACCCCAAGCATGAAACAACCGTGCTTTGCAGGGTGATTTTCAATTGCAGCTCTTTGTTCATGAATTCGTATCTATTATTAGTAAACATAGAGAGGTTATAAAATCAGAATAGTATCATAGCGCTATGTCTGTTTATTGTAATTCTGAAATCAGTTCCTTCTAAAAGATTTGCAGTAACATAAATTATTTCATGTTGCACGAGGTTGCAAATTATTAGTTGCCCCGTGATCTAAAGAAACTTGTTTCTGAAATCTAGAACCCCAAGGGGACATAAACCACTTGATTGACAAAGAAAACACTTTGATGCCTGGGTTATGTAGTATCAAGAGTAAATCATCAGATTTAAAATGTCAAGAAACTTGTCTTTAGTGACAAAATAAAAGTTTTTGCTATGTTTTCATAATAGGAGCCGAAACAATTGATAACCTTGCCATAAGAAAATGATAGCAAGAGAAACTATCAGGGCCTTTATCCCAAACTTTTGGTGTTGGCTGCATAGGTTGTACATTTATGATGTTGTCTAAGTCTGCTAACAACCTCTTGACACCTGTCAATAGATATTTGTCTCTAAAGTAGATGTAAACTATATAGCACAAAGTAGATAGCCTTAATTAGCTTTCTTGCACAAGAGTGCAACAGATATTCGAAATGAGACAAATAGTAAATAAGTCTGCTAGCGAGCAACATTATTCTTGAAGTCTCATGGAACCAAAGTAGTGAGGTTATTTTTATAGGTTGAGTGTTCTTTACGGGTTATATCTGAACTATTTTAGTACCGCTTTAGATGTGTCTGATTGTATTTGAATATGAGTTGCGTTGATATCATCTTAGAATCTCTTTCACTGTACTAAAATTCAGAAGCGATGATAAGAACTTAGGGATATAAATTTATTTATAATACATATGTGGTTGGTGTGCGAACATGGTTGATTGAAATTTTGCATGGGCTGTATTATTGCAGTTGATTTTTTTTCTTTAAATACCTCTAGTTAGATTTATATTATCTTTATCTATTATTTTGTTTGTGTATCTGCATGGTCTGAATACAATAGAGGAACATGTGCTTATAATTGGCTCTACTTTGTTCGTTTATTTAAGAGTGCTAATAAACACTTTACACTTGTCGACAAATGTTTGTCACCAAATTACATGTGAACAATCTAGGCCAAAGTAGATAATGTTAGTTTGCAGTAGACAGAGGGTAAACGAGACTGCTAGCTAGCAACATATTCCTTAAAGTCTCTTGTAGCAAAATTTCAAAATTACGGTGAGAACAGTTTTGCATTCTAGAGCATGTGTTTGCGGGCGTAGTATCAATTTAACTATTGAAATCTGAACTATTTAGTGCAGCGGTACCTTTTCTGAATCCATTTTAAAATTGTATCTGATACGATTTGAATCTCCATCTTAATGTGTTTTGCGTAATACCAAAATTTCGATATTGTGGGAAGACTGAGGATTATGTTTCCATATTCTTAATGGTTATGGTTGGTGTGCAAACATGGTTGATAGAAAATGTGCAATTAATAGTTGTATTTTCGTATTTGGTTGTTTTGTTACAACTCTAGTATATTTTTAGAGTCTATTCACCTGTGATATGGATTGCTTCTCTGTTTGGTTTGAATACAGTACAGGAACATGTGCTTATAGTTGGCTATTTAATTTTTTTAGTTAAAAGAGTTCCATGTATCTAAGCACAAAGTAGATGAGCTTAATTTCCTTGTACAAGAGTGTAACGAGTGCTCAAATTTAGACAAATAGTAAATGAGAATGCCAGCATCTGTTTCATGTATTGTGGCACAGGATGAAATTTGCAGTTGCTTGTTATAGAAAAGAGAAACATAATAAAATTATTCATGGTTTTTATGCTCTGCTTTTATACAAAGATATTTATCCTTAACATAATTGAGCTGGTTGTTTGCTTGTTTCTTTCAGGGTGCATGAGGTGTTACAATCAAGAAAACTAATCTTGCTTTGATCTTCGGCATTTATGATGAGCCAATGACTCTTGGGCAGTGCAATATGATTGTTGAGAGGCTTGGTGATTATCTCAATGAATAGGGATTTTAGGTTTGTTGTGTTTCCTTTTTCTATTTGGGTTTGGTGTGGTCCCTCGCATTGCAATGCTTGAAATGAATAATTGTCAGTTCAACAATTATGTGGACTCTCGTGAGGGGTTTGATGTTTGGTTAATGTGTTTGTTATGATCCCTATCCCATCAAAATTCTGTCTGTATTTTTCCTTTGATTGGGGTTATTGTGGCATTTTAAGGCGAGTTGTGATACTTATTCATAAGACAGGTTTGCATGTTCGAAAAAGTTGTGCTCTATTTGAATTCTATTTGAATTTCTTTTTGATGTGGCATAAGTGGCTTCTTGTGGCATTGGTTATCGTAATAAACAATGTATATCATTTTGCAAGTGATGTATTCTTTGAGTTATTTGCGCTTGGCATAATAAAAAGAAAAAAAATACATGATTGGTAATTTTAATGCTATCTTGTTCAATATGTTCATGCTATTCCTGAATGGGTTATGTACATGCCTATGCATATTTTGATAATTCAAAAAGTTTACAAAAAGCCCCTAATAGTTTACAAAAAAACCCCTAAAAGTTTACAAAAAACATCCTAAAAGCATTATACATATATAGCTACTATAGTTAAATGGGCAAATGAGCGGCCCGTTTATTAAATGGGCGGGTGAAAACCCGCCCATTTAGAAAATATTAAATGGGCCATAAATGGGTAAATGGGCAAAACATGCCCGTCCATTTATGACCCGCCCGTTTAATGCCCAAACCCACCCGTTTAACACCGCTAGGGTTGAGGCATGTAATGTTGATTTAAGTTATTTCTTTTTTCATTACCATGTAATACTATATTGGTAATAGAGAGGACTGACAAGAGATACTACGGTTGATGACAGGTAAGAAATTTTAAGAAAATGCTCTTCTCATATATGGTTGCCCGAATTCTGAAATTATGTGCTTATATTGTTCTGTTATACTTTTTATCTGTTATATCTCTCTCAAAGTTTTGCAAATTTTCTTTTCTTTTCATTTCTTTTTGTAATTGTCGTAATTCTTACAAGCTTATGAAAGTTGATAATTTATTTTCAGTTTTCCTCTTTGCTGATTTATTTCTTTTGCCTTTCCTATTTGTTGAAAGTGAACCTGGCAAGCAGGTGAGAAGTGCAATCAGGATAAAGCATACTAACAAATCTCTTCTAGCAGCATTTTAAGGTACTTTTTATGCTTTTGGCTTCTTAGCACACATTCAATCTAGTAGAGACAATGAGGTAAATTTGGTTTCTTAACTCTAAGCCTGTGATAGCTTAGCTCCAGGTTGTAAATTGTTCATGCATTCAACTTGCAATTATCTTTTTTAATTAGATGATTGTGAAATGATTAGAGTTTGTTAAGCACTGGATATTGAGAATTTCTCTATTTGTGAAGCACTGGATATTGAGAATTTCTCTATCTTCCTCTTCTTCCCTTCCTTCTTCTGCTTGTTTCCATTTTTTTCGAGTAACAGTGAGAGCTGAGAATACTTCATTAAAAACCATGGCTTTTACTGGCCCCTTCTCATTGTAGGAACTCCACGTGGTTTCTTCTCAAGCTGAGAAGGTGGGCAAATTGTTGCCATTATAAATTTGTTGCTGAGTAGCGAGTGAGAATTTGGAGAGAGTGAGAGATTTGGGAAATTGAGTGATGAGAGAAGTGAGAAGGGGAGCTATAATGACTCAAATAGGGACATATGCTTTCAGTTTGGGTTATTTAGCCTCTGAGCTTGACCCTTTTTCTAATAGTTTAAACTGCATCCTGTAACTAGAATTCGGTCTCTGCATTCTTGGTTTATTTTCATAAAAATCTAACTTAAGCATTACTTGAGGGTATATGCGCCTAGTATTATATCTTGGTTCTTGTAATACATTATATATGGTAATTGTCAGTTGTGTAAGTAGCAGCAAGAGGTATGTAAAGTATCATGATTTGCAAATAGATTAAGTTATGCTCAAAACTAAACAGATTAGCCTGCGCAAACTTCTTGTTAACTTGTATATTTCTTGAGTCGGGTTTTCTTCTGTACATGCGCTTTAAATGCCTCTTGAACATGAGAGGCATTATCAAGTTCTGTTAGGCCTATAAGGTGATAATGACATGTTCTTAGCAGACATTCTGAGCTTTGCTTAATACTAGTTTGATATTCTATCGTCTCCTATATTGACTATAAGCAAAAACCTAATGACCGTAAGTGTATCTTTTTTGATGCTTTAACATTGAAGTGTTCTGGCCACTTTCTTCTTTATGTATGAAGAGCATAAACAGAATATACGAAGTCTCCATTGGCTCCTCAAGAGACCTATTATTCATTGTATGACCATCTCAAAAGCTCTACTAATCTTGATACAGAGTGGATATATATTTTACGTAAATTTGAATGCATATCATACTGCATATGATCATACAAGCACATTGGAGCAAAACAAACACTTTTAGTAATATGAAGACATAACCATGAAATTTATTGAAGTCCACGGGATACCAAAAATTAGTTCAGATCCTCAAGACCACTGCTATAAAAAATTAAACCATGCATGTTTGGAAAAAGAGAGACTACTTTTAATATGTAAAATATCCTCTTAGACTGAGCACTCTTTTCATGGGTCGAAATCTAATAATTTTATTTGCCCCTTCCATATAGTGGTATGAAAGGGTGAAGAAACTCATGATGAACCTGATAAAGAATTATGTTGCCATAGTAAATGATCATATTGCACAGTCACTTCCAACTTCAATCTAATTCCTCTCCCGCTAGATGAGTTATTTGATTTTATCATCGATAATGAAAACTCTAATGAAGATGGGACAACGACTAACACTAGATTCATTTAAATTTATTTTTGGAATATATATTAGTTTTGAAAAGTTTTGATGTAAAAGATTGAATCATTAATTGCAATTTTTCTTTGTAGAATGATGCACCTACTTGGTGGATGGCTATGTTAGGATAGTTGCAGAATATTGAACGATATTTTCTGTATGGAAAATCAAAAGATTATATTGAGCTTCTTGTAGCTACTAGAGCTAAAAGGTCAAAAGGTAAGCTTGACATTAAGAGAAACTTGCCTGAATCTATTATAGCTTTTAGTTGTGGTACTAACACGTTGAAGATATTTTCTTTTTAACAGAGTTATATGCAAGAGATGTTGGGAATTTACGCCAAAACCTCTAAGACAACAGAAACGCGGTATAGAAAAAATACAACAAGATTTAATGAGGTTCGACAACTGCCTATGTCCTCGGGAGCCACACAATTAATTTCTTATTAATCAACAAGAAATTACAAATCTCAGAGCAGATCCCAAACTGAGATCTCTTAATACAAACACTATAGCTACAGTGTTAATAGTTCAAGGGGAATAATCCCTATTTAATGCTCTTGAAAACCCCCTTTAATACCTCCTCAAATCTGAGAGCTGGGAAACCCCTCTTAAATGAACAACCCCCTTTCTTAAATCTCCCCTCAAAATTCATTTGAGAGCTAGAGAAAAATTCCACGAAGGAGAAAAAGAGGAAATCGCTGTTGCGATTTTGGGTCCGCCACCGTCTGGAGAAAACGCACGAAGAAGGGAGAAAGAAAAAACAGCGGGGCTAGGGCACAGGGTTTCCCATTTATAGGGAAACCCTAGCTGAGTTGTTGATTGGCTGTCGACGGCTTGTGAGGAGCTCGCCTACGCAGAGCCGCCTTACCCGTGGATTCCCCGAGCTCGAACCTCGTCCGCTCATGTTCAAATCTCGTCATACCGCGTTTGAATCTCGTCAGCCCGTCGGTTCGAACTCGAACCTCGTTCGAAGCTTGACCCTCGTCTGAACTAGAAGCTCGTCCCTCATCTGCTCGAGCCTTGTTTGCTCGAAGCTCGCCTTCACCTGCAAGTCACCGTCGACTTCTCCTGAAGACCCTCGTGCTCGCCTGCAACTCTGGATCTTGAGCTCGTCTTGAGCTCTCCTCCGTCATCCCCCCCAAATTAAGCTCGCCTACGGAGGTTTGATTCTTCACCCAAATGCAACAATCTCCCACTTGGAGAATAAACCGACATCAGCAAACTATCTCAACAAGCATCATCTTCTGTGTGGCTCCGCCCTCATCACTCATGGATGAAGGCCAACTGAAGTTACGCACAGCTCTAGTTTCTGAACAGTCACCGTCTTTGTTAACATATTTGCTGGATTCTTACTTCCTGGAATCTTCTCCAGTTTTAACACGTCATCTTCCAACAGGGACCTGATGAAGTGGTACCGAAGCCCAATATGCTTCGTTCTAGAATGAAATATGGAATTCTTAGCCAAGTGAATTGCACTTTGACTATCGCTATGCAGAACATTATTCTCCTGTTTGAATCCCAGCTCTGTTAACAAACCCTGAAGCCATATCATATCTTTGCTGGCTTCAGCCATTACAACACACTCAGCTTCTATAGTGGATAAAGGGACAATCTTCTGTATCTGTTGTAGGCATAAAAAATTACCTATAGGTTCTCGCGCATAGCTCGAGATAAAAAAAAGACGATGAATGTTACTATCCAAGTCAAGGAGGATTATCTGAGTCAAAGAAGATTATCCGATATTATAGAGAAATTAAAAAGCACATGAAGTAAGTCGGCGAAGCGTACGAGTCTGTGAAACACACTAAACGATAAAGGAACAACTCAACCGGATGTTATGCTTCGCCCACAAAAGGGTGAAGTACCAAGTGTGTCTCATTCATTCCATGAGTGTCTAGCCTATGGGAGGTTGTAGAGATCTTTGTAAGCTTTCCAATGCATCTTGGATCATTTCATTCTGATATCTGACGATGGAGTTAGAGCTAAATTACACGAGACAACACAAACTGTCTCGGAAGTGCGAGACAGTCGCAACTGTCTTGGAAGCCGAGACATTCACAACTGTCTCGTACCAAATCTGAAGAAGGTAAAAAGACAAAAGTTGTATATCTCTTCTTCAGCTTTCCAACGCATCTTGGATCATCTTATTCTGATATCGGACGAGGGAGTTAGAGCTAAAATACACGAGATAACACAAACTGTCTCGGAAGTACGAGACAGTCGCAATTGTCTCGGAAGCCGAGATAGTCACAACTATCTCACACCAAATCTGAAGAAGGTCAAACATCAACCCTGTCTCGTTCATAGAGTTGCTTACGACACATTTCTTGACGGTTTTTTGGCTTCATAACTACTTGAGATCAACCATAAACGTGGAGAGAAAGTTACTAACTGATATAGACCCACTAACCTCATAAAAATATGGTATTTAAATAGTGGGACGGCGGTTACAAAA